GAGTTTGAACCAGAAGCATTGTTGTTTGCGTTCGACATTTGAAAAGGAAAAAGAACAAAGTTGATTAGAAAACGAATTTCCCCAATTAATCACCCAAATGAGAAATTAGGGCTAGGAACCAACAACATTATTCACAAATTAGAAAAGGGATGCCGTAATCTAACAAGTAAATAATTTGAAGGCAAGTGAATGTCGATTCACTAATTCTCCACCATGAAAAACGAAAAAGAGATTAAGTTTTAAATGTATTGAAAAACTCCTAGATACTTTGAGATTCATTGAACTTTTCAATGGCATGTTTAAATCTCGATATGGCCTTCTAGTTTGTGACTAGGATGCCGAGGATCACAAACCGGGTGTGAATAACCATGAAAATGTACATGGTGCCCTCATTGTTACAGTCACCTATTCGATGTGCAGGTTAACCACACACGCTCCATCGAACTATGACAATCAATGAGTCACCCTTTGCCACCTTTGCTTAGAAACCAATTAATGTGCCGGTTAACCACACGCGCTCCATTAACATCTTAGCTAGGGTACAAAGTGTAATTTCATGGAATTGCATCAAATTCACTTTTTCCTAAAGTAACTAAGATTGGGAATTTTGTAAAAACATTTAGTTACTTTATTTAGATTCATTATACTTTTAATGAGGAAAGGTTTGCCCTATCCTACCCGTTCGTCTAACGGCCCTCCACCAATCAAGGAAGTGGTGGGTGAGAATGGACACCCATTAAACGGCCATTTTATAGGCCATAACCTTATACCCGCCTTATAGATCGGCTTCGTGAATGAGGCCTACTAACGGTAAGACTAGCATTTAAGTTATACATATATATATATATATATTAATCTTATAATTTTATAAGTATAAGGTTGAATTTTAAAACTTGTAAAATTCTAAGGTTTAAAATTTAAATAGTTCAAATTAAAACTTTTAATCACAAAACTTAAATTTCAAAACTTGAGGACAAGTTTTGAACTTTTCAAAACACAAAGGATCAAATAGCAAATAATATAAATTAACCAATTAATTTAATGATTATCTAAATTTGACCTAGTCAATATTTCTTGCAAGATAATTCAACAATTATTTCAAATAATCAATTATTATCAAATAAGGAAATTATTATTTAAACAAATGGTAATTATCTTTTGTTTTGTCAAGGATAGTGTCAAACAGGTGATAAAATTCGGATTTTATTAAACCAAAACGATTTAGGTAAGAATCCTTAAGCAAAACAGCAAGAAATCCCGAAAATCACTCTGACAGACGCTCCGACTCGCCGAGTCCCTTTATGGACTCGTCGAGTTCATCCTACTCGTCGAGTCCACAATGGGACTCGCCGAGTCTGTCAGTCAGGGGGCAGAAAAAAATGATTTTTCAAGGCATGAACAGATAAACAAGGCATCAATTCAATAGAAATCAATCAAAGCTCTGATACCACTGATGGGTTTGAGCCATAAGAACTTTCCTATGTGCACATGCAAACCCTAATGATTGGATCTAGGTTTTTCTAATTGAACATGCAATTTATCCAAGTCTTGCAAACCCTAGATCTAGTGTATACAATTCAAATTTGACATAAGAAACTCAAATCTAGATGATTACCTTTTGTAGCTTGCTTGATTGTTCTTGTCTTGGAGCTTAGAGTCACAATTGTCACTCTTCTAATGGCTTACAAACACCAACTAGCAAGAGAATGATTTGGAGAGAGGAGAGAGAGGTAGAAATCGGCCCTAGGGTTCCAAGGAACCAAGTGTAGCCGATTTCTACAACCCAAGGGGTCTATTTATACTGTGAGCTTCTAGTGTTTCAGCCAAAACCCTAATGGACAACTTAATCACCAAGCAGCCCATGGAACCTTCTGGAGTAAGGCCTTTGACGAAATCTTGATGGGATCCTTCCCACAATTTCGTCCACCCCTTATCCATGAGGGTTTCCTAGCCCAAAATACAAATATCACACATTTGAGAGTTTAAGCCATTTTATTCAATTAATCTCTTTTAGTCACCAAATTAATTCTTAATTAATCTATGACTAATATTAATTAAATAATATGATTATTCCTTTAATATATTATTCTCATAATATATTAATAAATCATAATGTCTTCTCTCTCTTCATAAATCACCCTGTCAAGTTGCTATGGTGAAGGCAACCCAAAAGGACCATGCACAATCGGGTCAAGTACTTACCAAATATAGTTACAGGCTTAAACACTAATCCAACAAAATACACATTTTTATACATGGAATAACTTTTAACATAGAATTACTAGTTAAGTTCGACCGGTTTGACTTGTTGACTTTGACTTTGACTTTGACTCGAATTTGATGGTTGTCACAAATCTCCTCCTGAGTTTGGTTATTTCTTCTTTGTCATCTCCTGTGATAATCATATCATCCACATAGATTATTAAACATGTTATGAGATTGCTTCTCCGTTTAAGAAACAACGTATGGTCTGAGTTACTTTGCTTAAATCCATAATTTTTCATGGCTAAGGTGAAATTCCTGAACCATGATCTCGGGGACTGTTTTAATCCATAAATGTATTTCTTTAGAAGGCACACCTCTTTCTCTCTAAACCTGTCTGTAAATCCATGTGGCGCTTCCATATAAACTTTCTCTTTTAGCTCTCCGTGTAGGAAAGCATTCTTCATATCAAACTGGTGTAGGGGCCATCCTTTATTTGCTGCTACAGAAAAAAGAACCCTAATTGTATTGATCTTTGCAACCGGAGAGAAGGTTTCAGAGTAGTCAATACCGTAAGTTTGTGTATAGCCTTTAGCTACCAACCTCGCCTTGTATCTTTCAACTGTACCATCGGGCTTGTATTTAATTGTAAACACCCACCGACACCCGCCAAGTTTCTTTCCTGGTGGTAAGACACGATTTCCCAGGTGTTATTTTTTGTAAGAGCTTTCATTTCTTCTTCCATTGCATCTCTCCATTGTTTTGATTTTAAGGCTTGTTCTATGGTAGCTGGTATTTCATTGGAATACAGAGACGAAACAAAGGCCTTGGCTCCTTTGGATAGATTTCCTTTGGCTATGTTAGCCACTGGGTATCTGCGCCCTCTAGACTCTTTTTCTGCTGAATATCTTTTTGGTGGAACTCCCCGATTTGATCTTGGTGGCAGCACATACCCTTGTGCTGGTGTCTCAACGGTCTCTTGTTCCTCCACATGTTCTTGTTCCTCTGCATGTTTAACTGATGTATTTTCTTGTTCCTGTCCATTCTCACTTTCTCCAGATGTGTTAAGAGTCTCAGAAAGATCAGGGTGACTAGGGTGAGTGTTACTTACCTCGGGTATCAGGTCAGGAGCAATTGCTTGGGTGGCACTGATGTTAGTTGGTTGTGTGGGAAGAGGAGTCTTATTTTGTAAACTGTGGCTTCTTCCTTCTTCAGATGTAGCATATCTCAACCAATTCAGCGTGTCAATACATCCTGTCTCCCCCTGACCACTGTGTTGGGAGGCATAATAATACTTAGTTTCAAGAAAATCACAGTTCATTGTAGTGAACATGTGTCGGGTTTTTGGATTATAACACCAGTACCCCTTTTGAGTTATTCCGTACCCAACAAAGACACATCTCTCAGCACAGGGGTCAAATTTAGATCTGTTGGCTTTAGGTATATGGACGAATACAGTGCACCCAAATATTCGTGGTTCAAGGGTAAGAACAGACGGGAGTTTAGTGTATTCGGTGAGGGTTTGAAGAGGGGTGTTAGATTTTAGGATTTGGGTGGGAAGCCGGTTGACAAGGTATGCGGCAGTAACAAGGGCTTCTAGCCATAAAAACTTTGGAGCTTGTGATTCTATGAGAAGGGCTCGAGTTATTTCTAACAGGATACGATTCTTTCGTTCCCCGACACCATTTTGTTCTGGAGTATGAGGGCATGTGGTTTGATGAATTATACCCTTGGTTTGGAAAAACGATTTCATTTCGGAGTTGACAAATTCTCCTCTGTTGTCAGATCTAAAAATCTAAATGTTTTTATGAAATTGAGTTTGAATCATGTTGTAAAACATGCTAAATTTGTCAAGAACTTCAGATTTATTTTTTAATAAATAAACCCAAGTCATGTGGGTGCAGTCATCAACAAAATATAACAAAAAAACGAAAGTTTTGTCCCCCAATGATTGGAGCGGGGCCCCACACATCCGAGTGAATCAATGAGAATGGTAGGTCAACTCTCGTGTTATTCGGTTTAAAAGATTTTCGATGACTTTTAACTAATACACAAGTTTCACAATGTGACTTGCAAGTAGAAGAAAACAATTTCGGAAATAAAATATGTAAGTAACTGGTGGATGGATGTCCCAATCTTCTATGCCATAGCCAAGCTTCCCATTTCTTTGTTCCATGAGATAACATTGCCACACCATTTTGAGATACCTCATCCACATAATACAACCCTTGCCCATTTTGAGATACCTCATCCACATAATACAACCTTTTCCTTTCAGTGTCACGCCCAATTATCGCTCCCATCCTGATATCCTGTAAAATGCAAAAAGTAGGTTGCATAAGGACCAAACAATTCAACTCTTTTGTTACATGACTGATTGATAGGAGTTTATGAGATAGAGCAGGAACATAGAGACAATTAGAAAGCTTAAGTGTTGGTGAGATTTCGATCGTTCCCCCATTTTTATATTCATTTTTTCTCCATTTGCGGTTTGAATGTATGATTTTGTTGGTTTAGTTGACACAGCAAAACCAGATAAGTCGTAAGTCATGGTGTCAGTGGCTCCACAATCAAATATCCATGACGGTTCATTTTTTATTTTATAATTTTGAGCCACAATTGCACAACCATTAACATCAAGGTTTTTTTTGTAATTTTCAAAACTCTTTTGAATAAGATAAGAAAAAGAACCATTATATAATTATATTAAAGTAGGTTCCCAATCCAATTCCTGTTGATTGGACCAAACGTTTTTACTTATTTTTCTTTTCTGATTAATTTTCTTTTGATTTTCTGACCACCGCTTTGAGAAGCTGTCACCGACTCATATCCGTCTTAAGCTTTCCTTGATTCTTCCAGTTTCTTCTCCACCGCCACTATCTCAATTATCTTTCCCAAACCCACACCCACACCCACACCCACACCCACTTCACTTCACCTACCGATAGAGACACCGCTACCCGCTGCTCTCTATGCTTCAAATCCAATATTGTCCCAAACCCTTTCAATCTTACTTTCACTGCTTCTCTACCATTTGTTTGTGTTGAACGATTTCATGAGATGTTCGATTTCTAGCCCTAAATTTCGCTCTTTTGCAAGTAGGTTGTTCGTTGAAGCCAAAGCGTCTGGTAAAATACGTCGTCTTCCTTCCACAATCGACCTTATTTGGACTGTATTTCACCTGCTTCTTCTTTTTAGACTGAATCTCTTCCTTTAACTTCTGATTTTAGTGTGCTATCGTCATTGACAGTAATGGTGGAAGTCGGTGTCGGTCTTTACGACAAAACCCTAAACGAAATCGACTGTGTATCTGAAGACGAAGGCTATTGTAAGTCGATTCAGAGCATCACACGCCACTGATTGAAGGTCTGCTAAGAAGAAGAACGTTGTGAGGCGATTGAGACAGGTTCCTTTTGCTCATGTTGAGGGAGTCATTAACAAGGTTTACAATGGGCTTGAACTGAGTTTCTTGACTGAAGCGAAACCCTCTTCTAAGACGACTACTTTTCTAATTTTTAAATTTTTTTTTGATGTAAGGGATGACAGAGGAACGAGATTATTTCAAGAGAATAAAGAGACGACTGTTGGAAGGTAGCCATAAATCTTCTAAACAGATAATAGACTTTTATGTGAAAAAAAATTGTTTTGCTCATTTTTGTTGAAGTAAATCTTCACAATTGTACCAAACCATTTTATTTTTGTGCTATTTCTTGGTGAAAGTTTTATGTTGTCTTTGACTTTCAGGTTGCAGCTATGGTGTTGTAGATACTGATTTTGATATGAAAGTCCCAAGCACGAAGGTATGTCTCTTTGTTACCATTTTCTGATCACAAACTCCTGCACATCACGATTTTTATATGAAAGGTTGTTGAGCTTTGATGTGTTTCCTTGGAAAGGTATGTATTCATCCGTATTTCCTTTCGATTTCAATTTCTAATTTTGAATTTATGACCGGATTTGACCTAATTTTCATCATGTTGCCATAGAACTGCAATAATTGTTTGCTCCTCAATCCTTGATACCTCTTAGCGATTTCTGGTGCATACCCCCATCGACTTTGGTGCCTATTGCTTCATTTATTTTTTTTCATTTGCCTTTGTAAAATCATCATCAACCGATGACAAAGACAACGCAGGTTTGTGGGTTCTTTTATCGGTAAAGAAATAAAGAATGTTACCATACAATTTTGCAATAGAACATTTAAATTGGTTCAGCTCATACACAACAATTACAAGGGGATCAGTTTCGTCCCGATGCTTCTGGTTCAGTTCAAACACATCAATGACACAGCTTCCCTGCTACCCACAATAATTTACAGGTATCAGTTTTGTTGTTATGCACGGTAACTGTTTGATTAAATGCATGACAGATGTGTTGTCTAATGGGATTTTTTTAAGTTATAGAAAACCTTACACCTGAAGTACAACTCGAAGATCAAATGGTAATTGCACATTTATACTGCCTGTTATTTGTTAAAGTAATATTTTTTGCTTATGGGATGATTGTTTAAATCTATTTTCGACAGCGTATATAGCCGACATGTTTGTTGAAATAGCTCTACACAAGGTAAACCTGCTTCCATGTTATCTCTTTCATACCTAATTTAATTATTTGATTAATATTCAAACATATTTATTGATTAAATGTGTGAATCAAATTTTGTTCTTATATAAGATGTGTTTGTTGGGTTGATTAGAGGGTTAAATCATGGAAACAATCATCTGTAACCAATTCCTTTCCATTTAGCAATACTATTTGGTTGTTCAAATCTCAATTTTTTTTTTCTGTTAGATGATACTCTTCTCTTATAACCTCATCAGGTTAAGGATTTCGTCTTATTTTAGGAAAAATTTTCTTTTTGTTCGCTTTGGTTCCTTTTTTGTGTGAGTATTTTAGTGATGTTTAAAAAAGAAATCCCGACATTTGTTGTGTTAAAACCATCTAAGTTGATCAATAGCAACGTGATCCCTGTCTGTAAAAATTAAGACTTTTTTTAGTTTGTGAAGAAAAGAAGATGTAATTTGTGATTTTTTTTTTTAAATTTGTTTTAGTGTATTACTTGAAATTTCATTTTTTGACGAGTCAAATTATTTCCAGGCGTTGATTCTGGATTCCTTTTGACATTTCTTAACTCAAGTTCATAGTTGTGATTTATGAATTCTTCCATTTGACAGGAAATTTGAAGTGCATGATGTCAGATAGCATATGTGGGATCTATTAAACACCTCATTTCCATGATTTTCACTGCTTGGTTCTTTATGTATTGAGTAAGAGATAAACACCCATAATCCCATATATAGCTTACTAGATTAAGTCTTTGTCCACCTTAATCGCTTTAAGTTAAAAAAAAAAATTAAATTGCTAAAATAGCAATGTACTTTTCTCTGTTTTACAAATATGAGCAACATACTTTAGTTTTAAGTTTTATCCTATAATACCAACGTACCTTTAATTTTCCAATCAATTTAATCAATACATGCTTTTTTATTCCTTACCGAGAATGTTGACGTTGCATTTCTTCTATTGACAGGACTGCCACATAATCTTACACATAATGGCAATGCCTTATGCACAGGAAGTTAAGATACAACTATTAAGGTTAGAATTAGATCAAGCAAACACTGGAATCTTCGATTCCTTTCCGATTTTGTAACATAGTTAGGAGATAGATCCTATAAACTTTGAAAAGTGACTCAGGTTAATTCATACGTTTATTATTTATTTTAAGGAAACTTGGAAGAAATAATATAATGGCTTTTTGGTGTCTGATGAACCCGTGAGTCCGGGCCAATGCAACATGATTATAGTTATGATCAAACACTTTGAAATATTTTAATTAATAGGGTAATTTTAAAAAATAATGAAATGACAGAATTGCCCCTAATATGAATTACTCTTACTTTTTTATTTACATATCTATGTTTTTGCATTTCTTGGATTTACATCTTACATTTAGTTTTGTTGCCAAAAAGTTTATACAAAGAAATATTCAACCTCTGTACTCTACTTGCTGGAATATTGATGTAACATTGGATTTTCAAGAAAATTATTTTTTAAAAAGTCATTTCTTACTTTCATTTATATTTCTTAATTTTTCTTCTTTTTAAATTACTTTAATGTCCGAGAGGCCCAAGATCTCATACAAGTAGCTCAGACGAAGCTACACGAAGGATACATCATGAATGACCAATCTTGCAACATCATCTCCACAACACCAACACAAGAAGAGTACAAAACCCTGAAGAACATCCTTGAAGAGGCAAAATGGGATGACTTGTCCATGGAAGACAATATCGCATTCATGATCGGATCAATCCATAAGAGGATCTCAATCTACAAACATCTTATGAAAAACAAATCCGCTAATTAGATGAAGTTTCCTTTCCAATAAATAAATGAATAAACTATGTCGCTAAATCTAAATCCGACCCCCGCAATGACGGGGGCACTTTTCTAGTTAGAGTATAATTGATTTATCGGGGTTTTCAAGATATCCTCTTTCTTACCTCCTGTACCTGTTTCCATCGAGAAACCTTCAACTTCTTCATCGATTCTCGTCGCTGCAACCCCCCCAAATCCGGTGGCGGTTTTCCGATCAATATTCTTATCGGTGGTCGGAGCTCTTCCTTTTTTTGGTCCGAGACCCTTGGTACTCTTCTTGTGGCCATCGGCCCACCACTCGGGATAACCAACGAGCCGAAAGCACTGCTCTTTGGTGTGTCATGCCACAGTGATCACACTTCAAGTTTGTTTTATCTTCTTTGATCATCGATCCATTCTTCTTTCCTTCTGATCGGCGATACCCCTTCGTGGCAAGCCCCATTCCCTCGGTTTCAGTAGCGACCAGACCCGCTGCTATGCCCTGTGTGTGGTTAGTTGTTCCAAGAATATTCTAGTGAGCGGATTCCTTACGGACGGTAGCATAAGCCGCCTCCGCCGAAGGCAATGGTTCCAATAGAAGGATCTCCCTTTTGATTGATTCGTATTTTTGATCGAGGGCATTTAAGAATTGAAAAAGTTTTTGCTCTGACCTGATTCTTGCGTAAGTCTTGATATCATCTGGACATTTCATGGGGTTAGGATCGATCCTGTCGATTTCTCCCCAGACACCTTGGAGTGTAATCCAAAATTCTTCAAGGGTGCTGTCATTTTGCTTGATGTCATTAGCCTTGACATGAAGGTTGAAAGTTTGAAGTTTGTCTCTGCCACTACTGTATGTGACCACTAAAGCATCCCATAACATTTTTGCAGTGGGGTACTCTGTTAGGTTACCTGCAATAGTAGGTTCGATATTTTGGATGAGCCATGAGAACACAATTAGATCTTCTTGTTCCCATTGCTCGTAAGATTCTTTGTCTTGGCTTGGAGGATCAGAGGTCAAGTGAGATAACAGGGCCTTAGATTTTCCGCCTATGGCAACTCGAATCATCCGAGTCTATAAAGCATAGTTTTGGCTATTGAGTTTGAGGTTTATTTGGAGATTATCGGATAGCTTTGGGTTCTGAGATTAGCGATTGATGCCATTCTTTAACAGATTGGCAAGCTGTAATGATAAACTGGGTTCTAAGTTGCCGTCTCCGGACATGGCGACTTAGTTGGGATCGAGATTTAAGCAGGCTATGGGGTAGATGATGAGCAAACCTGCTCTGATACCATGATAAATAACAGAGAAGAATTGATAGGAACCGATTGTTTTTTATTATTCATTTTTAAAGGTATGTTACAATGAGGAAGAGAAACCATAATTTATACTAAACTAGGTGTGAGACCCTATACTAAACTAGGTGTGAGACCCGTGTAATACACATGTTTTTTTTTATAAAATAAATTGAATTTGGAAAGGATATGAAGAATAGCTATGAATGAATTGAAATTTGATAACTGCAAATAAGCATCAATTTGAGTGGTGATTTCCGAAAATTGTGTATGTAATTTAGGAAGATATATTTGGATTTAATGTATTCATTGACAAAATACCAGAGGAGATATTCACATTTCCTTTATTTTTGTATAAGATTCAGTAAAGTATTTGATAGATTTTAATTTGATAAAAAACTAAAAAATCCACAATTTGCCTAGTGGAATTAAATTTAATTGAAAAAATTATAAAAATGTCATGTGTCGTATTGAATGAGAATGTGACACGTGGCAGAAACCTTCATTTATTAGGTAGGATTACAATGATCTAAATATGGAAGAAATACTATTGTTGGCTGTCAATTCTTGGTGAATGGAAAGCAGATATACGTTCTCCTAATTGCAAGGGAGATGATGTGATTGGTCACCAATCTCGCTGATCTCATTGAGCCTTCCTTTTAACATGTTGTTGACATGGGCCAAAGGGTATGCAGCTGTAGGAAATGGGAATTAATAGGAATTCCTTGTAGGCATGTGATTGCAGTGCTATTTGACAAAGCAAACAATGCTGAGGATGTTCAGAAGTGGTTCAGTTGTGTTCTGTTTGGGCTATATATGGCTGCACAGAATTGGATTAGCCTTTGAGGATCGATCAAAATAGTTATTTATATTTACTGTTCAAAATTATTTTCAATCGATCAATAACAGGTGCAGTGGTGTCTATTGGCTGTTTAATTATCCCTGCACTGCTTTCCAATCTTCTGTGTAGGTAGGCTCTATTTTATGTGTTATGTTCATTAGGAAGGGAGAGGCTTGCTTTAATTTTGATTTACTCTGTTAGTTTTAGGTACAGTAACTTTTTGGTTGACCTTGTTATTACTTAGCGTTTTAGTTACTTTATTGCCCTGTGCTTCTGGATTATTTCTTTTTTTCTCTGCTAGCTCCTTGCTAGATGACTGTTTCCATTTATAAAAGTCCTTTGCTGTTAAAAAAAAAATACTATAATGGTTTAATCACCACAGAAAATATTCAAAGAGACTGAATTGATTAATAAAAAAAAAAAAAGATAAAGAGTGCCCTCCTTAAGGAAAAGGGCGAGTGACAAACAAACAACCAAACTATTAGTAAAATAGATTGCAAGATGCAAAGTTCTTAACACTAGAAAATGTTCTACATATAGGTAATTGGTAGTCCATAATAAAAGCAAAGATAAGAGTACTAATTAAGAAGTCATCGTTCATCTAAGAGATGAACATTCGAACAATCATGGGGGAAGTACCATACCCGTCTATAAACGAACATGCGGTGTCCACTTTTATCATTATCAAGTAATTTATCATAGCTCTTGTATTGTGTTTCAAAGTCCAGCCCATGACTCTGGTTTAATAGCAGCAGAAGGATTCAAAATGCTAATAAAGAATATATATTCTCTAATTGTCTTTTCTGGCAACACCCATTTCTTTTCACCAAAAATCAAGTTCCAGAACCTTTTCTGGTTTTGAAATCCAATCTATCAAATAAAGTTTTTCATTCGAACTTACAAGCTCCGGTCTCAACAAGTCTGGCTTCAGAAAATTCTTGATTTGGGGTGACATAGTTTCGTGTTTCTGCTTCCAATTGAGACTAAGTTCACCTAAAGAACGATCTGTGTGTAGAGTATATATCTTCCCTTCAAAAAAATGTAAATCAAGGATGGGGATAGTGGAGGAGACATGATTCCATTTTTCTTTACCCACGGTATAAAATACTATATTTTCATATAGCATAACAAACACCCACCCAGGTATTGAAGGTGAAAAGACAAGAATGGTCCTGATTCTATCTAGACCAACACTTATATCACCAGGGAAATTAGGGAAATGAAGTTCATGTCTTGTGATAGGATTCACAAGCCAGAAGTTGCGGGTTTTCCTACTGAACAAGACCAAGTAACCACAAGTTGATCCAACACAGATCCTCTCAGCTAAATGAGAAAGGATGGGTTTGAACTTTCTTCCTTCAAAGTCCTTTAGATAGTAGTAACAGTCATCCTCATTATCCTTCATAAAGATGCATACGGACATGGGTGGTATGGATGCCATAAATGTTTTCCTGTTAGAGATTGCAAATGATCTCCATGACTTGCAAACTCTACTGAATGCAAAAAAATCAACAAATCCCAGTCGCATCATTACTAATAAAAGCACATTATGGTCAAGATCTGACCATGGTGCCAGACCACCATTGTCAAAAGTTTTGAACCTTTTCCCACTCGATAATGACAATGATGATGCATCATCATGATGATGATTCTGGTTTTTAGTCATACTCCTTGTCTTGGTTATTCTCACACTAGCAAAAGGAAAAAAATAAATAAAATACTGCATAAGATACAATAGCTGTAAACAAGATGAATACTATCCAAGTTTAATTAACGTTTATAAACACTAACTCAGTTAATGAAACTGATTTAAGGAATATGCTATAAATTTACAGTTGGTTCAAGAACAAGTTCAAATATACAAATATACAGTGTACTCATTATAGCATCATTCTCGGCTATGGTTTCATAGCTATTCGTGCTTTTAATTGTTTTTAATAGTTAAAACCCAACATCATGGTTATAATTGTTTTTTCAGTTTTATTAACATGGTGTATTTGTGCTTTTGAAAAGGGAATTTTATTTAGGCGTCTCGTCGATCACTTGATATGCATGTAAAATACAAACATAATGAAACAAGTCTTATGCTGGTAAACTATAATGGAGTTGGAGTTGGGATTCGACAAAGACTAATAATTGAAGAGAAGGGAGCCCAAAATACCTGTTAATTAAAATTACCGATGGAGTTTTAGTCGATTATCAACAGCGATCCTTCAACAATGAGCCTGCTCATGGTTTGCAAAGAGTTTCACGATTTTAACATTACTCTGTTCAGGGTTTATAAAGAGTTTCATGAGTGTAACCCTGTAGGAACTATTATTAGTAAAGCGCTTATATAACGGGCATGATAGATCCGAACTTATTTTATTTTTGGTTCACAAAAGATATCACATTTTATTTTGATTTTGTGGGTGGGGTTGGTAGATGGACAGATGGAAATTCGAATCAAAATCTTTGTTGTTAGCCAAATAAGATCAGTTTATTCAAAAACGGAATTTAATAAGAATCTAAAATTTCAATTGTTTTGATTTTATCAATAAAATGTAATTTTTAATGAAATTAAATTTCTAATTTTCCAAATCTTTTCCAAAACCAAACATGGCACGACAATGGCCTAAGAAATCACATCCATTAAATGCCGATAATTTTCCATATAATATGGCTCTTATATATATATATATATATATATATATATATATATATATATATATATATATATATATATATATATATATATATATCTATATATATATATAGGTAAAGGTTCAAATGAGAACCAAAAAAGATTAAGAACCTAAGAACCAACTAATTAAGGGAAATTCTTGTCAAAACACGGAATGGCATAAGCTGTAATTCTCACGAAATAGAAGGTTTACTATGTATCATTTAAGCAAAAAAACACGGTGGCAATTTCGTGAATATTCAAAACATATTACCCGATTCTTTAATATGCCGGAACAAATCAAAACCCTAATTAAATTCACGACTTTTTCGAAACAACAAAACTCCCTCATTCAATTCACTGCAACACGATCTTCGTTCTATTCTACTGATTTGGAAATAATCGAACGAGAATTCTACATAAATCTATTCAATACGATGACAAAAAGGCGTAAAACAATAGAATTTGGAAAAAAATCGACAGATAATTCAACTGATGAAGGAATGACGACGAATATTTCAGCTGAAGAAGCTCAATTTACAACGATCAAAACTACGTCTGAAAAAGAACAAACATTGAAGAGGATGATTTCAACAGACGAATCTCAACCTACAAACAAAGCAACCGTCATCAAAAAAGGTAAAACCCTAAATACAGTATAAAAACTAAATAAATTCAAAAAACTTGCAAAAATGAAAAAATATTAGATGATTATTATGTTATAACGTAATTTTTTTAAAAAGTATCACTGTGTTAAACTGTGAATTTGAGATTTTATAGATTTGAATATAAAAATAGTTTTAAACTGACATTGTAATAATAATTTTGAATTATGAATGTTGAAGTTTATAATGTGAATATATATTAATGATTTTATAGATTTATAAATTTAAGATAATGATATTCAATTGTGAATAATGATAATGGTTTAAAACTGTGATTATTTTTAAAATCATAAAATTTCATTTTCCTATTAATTACATTTTCAGATAAGGGTAAAAGCATTTTGACAAAAAAATCAAAACAGAAAGATAAATATCTTCAAGGGACAACAAGACAAACAAGGTTGCAAACACCTAACAACATACATCAGAAAAATCAAGGTACAATATAAAAAGTTTCTTAATTATATTTTCATGATTAAACTGTGAATTTTCTGTTAACTTGTGAATTTTGAAGAAGATAAAGTTGTTGACAAGAAGAAAAAGCAGAGCAAATGAAGGAAAAAGGAAAAGGAACAAGAAGTTCAAGGTACATTTTAAAACTATATACAAATAATTGATTAATTATTTAATTTCTCATATAATAGTTCCTTATCATTACGTAATGAAATTTTTTACAGAGAAAAAAGGAAAGAAACGGAAAGAAAAGCAAACAATAAAAAAGAAAAACAAAAAAGCTAAAACAGATCATGGAGAAGATGATGAGAAGTTTCAACCATTAAGAACAAGGGTTGCAACACAAAGCTTATGGAAAGCTGTAAAGATATTGAGCAGTGAACAGAGAGCGTGTGTAGAAAACTTAGGCTTAAGATCAGTTTTAAAGATGACATTGGATGTGATTCCTTCAAAAATAGGCTTCTTTTCTGTGTTTAGCTACAACCATAGAACAAACTCCATTGACTTAGGACATGGAAGAATAGCAATAACAGAAAAAACAATAGGAGAAATTCTTGGCTTAAAAAATGAAGGCATTGATCTTGAAACAGTTGATGACTGTGAACAAGATAACAGTACATTGATTAAATGGAAAGAACAACATCCAAAAATTACAAAGTCTACTCAAGCACTAGTAGATCTTATAGAACAATCGCAAACTGCAGATGAGATGTTTGTGCTGAACTTCATTGTAATTTTTGTCAACTCAATCATAGAGAAAACAACATCTGGAGCCATAGAAACAAGATCTTTGCTGAAGTTGAGAACAAAGAAAATATCAACTGGTGCAAGTACATCAATCACACATTAGTTAAAAGTAAAAAAATTTGGAAGCCAAATTGTAAAAACAGCTACTATACTGGACCATTACCATTTCTAATTGTAAGAATAATTTAAACTAAATTAATTTCTCATAAAATAAAATATTTAATACTAATGTTAATCAAACTTATGTTGTTTTCATGTATCTTACAGCTTCTGTATGTGCATAGAACTCAATGTGTTCAACAACAGTTCATTAACAGAAGAATAGTACCACTTCACTTCTGGAACTATGGGAGACTGAAAACAAGACAAACAAATGAAATTGCAAATGGAAATTTTGGAATGGTACAAATTTTGGACAATATGGAGATGCTTCAAGAGGATGAAGAAGAAGATGTTGATTTGGATGAGGAAGATAATGAAAAGAATGTAGATGAATTTTCAGATTCAGATGACAATGAGGATATTGGTTTGGAGGTAATACAACTTATAAAATATTAATAAACTACGAATATAATTTTAACATTTAGATATAAAACATAACACATGAAAAGACATTATTAATTAAACTGTGAATTTGATGTTAAGTTGTGAATATAATAAAATAAAATATTACTATCTTTATTTTGATAATGAAATAACAAAATACATACACCACATGGATTTTGCTTGATGATAAAAAAAGTTTAAAACTTAACACATGTTTATATAAAGTGTGAATTACATATGAATTTCACAGTTTAATTGAAATCTTTATAATAAACTAACAAAAAACATATACTACATGGATTTTGCTTCATGATAGAAAAAGATTACAAAATGGCATTAGCTTTCAAAAAGAGAATGGAAAAGACATTAGTGAAGGCAAAAAAAAATCATCCGGATAACATAAAAATCAAAAGATGGATTGTGAAATATGAGAATTTATTCAAGAAGCCTAGTGTGTTGTGAAACATCAAAAGTGAATGAAAATGAAGTTCAAGTTGAAAAGGAAATAGAAGAATCAGAAGATCAAAATTCGACAAACGATATTGCATTTCAAAAAGCAATAGTTTTATATATACCGAAAGATAATCAAGTACAACACACTGAAGTTGAAAACACAGTGGATGCAGAACAACATCAAGAAATGGTTTTGTAAACAAACAACACATGAACACATGAAGAAACTGAAGAAGGAGATAAAGTCGATACAACTCAAAAAAACAACATCACTTACTGATTCTCAATCTACTCCAAAATCATCAGCTTTCACACCAACATTAGAGTCACCAACAATTTATGCTATGGTTGACAAAGTTGTTGAAGAAAGCTTAAAGAAAACTGCTTCAACTTGCACACCACTTATTCAAAAACTGTCTCTCAACCATCTTTTTCACTTGGACTAACCCTAGATATCAAAGATGATGTTGTAAACTCTCCAAAACCTTCTACAAGATCAAGCAAAGATGAAGAACAGATAAAGAAGAAGAAAAAAAAAGATGAAGAACAAATTCAAACAAAAAAAGAATGTGGAAATAAAGGGAAAGGAAAAGAAATTTTTATTGAAGAGAAACATGGAGAAAAAAGCATCAGAAAAGAAAAATGAGAAAGTTACTTCACTCATTATAGTGGTCAAACAGTGGAATCAAAAGACGTGTTATTTAATGAAGAGAAACTAATTGCAAACTCAATATTTTCAATGCAAAGGAACCACAAGTAAGTAAATATTTTTAATAAAAAGTTAATTAAATTAATTTATGAACAAAAATTAATTTATTAGAAATATTCCAACTTAATATCTATTAACAGGGAAATCCCATATTCAGAACAAGAAATGGGGATGCAGTAGAAGAATTTTTTTTTGAAACGTTAATCCCAGATGTGTCACATACACCACAAAGTCATTGATTGCTGGCTATTCTGTTAAATGACGAGGAGAGCAGAAAACAAAAGCGATCTCCATTAAGATTCTATTTTCCAACAGGAATCATAGTAAGTAACATTTATATTATGTATTTATATATGTTAATAGATTAAGAAAATTCTAACATAATAAAAGTATTACTATATGTAATTAGACTGAAGAGATGACAAATGAGG